TTCAACACTCTGGCTCTCCTATAAGAATTACAACCATGTACAAGTGAATTACAATAGATAAGTATGTATGCTTGACTGTTCTTCAGTTTATGCCTGGCTTATAATTATAATTATTATTCCAAATGGATTGTCAGCTTCCATTTTCTTTGATCATTCCTTGAGGGAAGCCATACAAAATACTTGCCAGCCAAAATGTGTTGGGCTAATTTGAGAAAGAAAATCTCTCTTTTACTCATCCCAAGACTCTCTTTCCCCTTTCTTGGACTTGTCTGCTTCCTCTTCCTACCCTGAATCCCCTAAATTTTGGGCTCAATGAGTATCTGTCTGTCACATTCTCCACTCTTTTTAGGGATTCAATGGTCCACACACTTTCCCTTGGCATCTTGGTTGGGTCTAGGAGAGCCATTTACCCAAAGTGGAGAAGAACAATTCCCTTTTGCTCCTCGCCATTTGTGTGCAACTGCTCCGGAGATCTCTCCTTTCCAAGAGGCTTGACGGAGAGTTATGGCATTTCAGGATTTTAATAGCAAGCCTATGAAATAACCCTAAGCATAATGTTTATTGAGGAGGGGGAAATCTCACCCCAAGAGCCAGGAGGCAATGGGAGGGGAAGGGATTTGAGGATTGGGACACAGAGACTTTTGCAGCAGTGAGGCAAGAGAAAGCAATGTCCGCAGGTTGGCCTTTCTGTCTTCCTTCCAATAATTGAGTGTTTCCTTCCACCTTTCCCTGAGCTGCTTCTCCTCTCCCCATTTGGCTCGGTTTCATTGACTTCTGTGCCCTCACCAGTGAAATTACTGAAGTATTCACAATGCCACATAGCTAACCCATGACGCCAACGACAACGCCGGGTGTGATGCCCCCCTGACCGTGCCCAAAACACCCTCCCTTTCCCTTCGCTTTTTTTGTTTTGCAAGACCACAAAATGGAGCTCTTGGGGTTCAAATCAAAACAAATGACCTTGGGAAACCGGTGGGGTTAATCAGTTACCTTTTAAATACACACACAAACACGTATATACATATGCTTAATATGCTTAAAGCTGAATTAAATTGTTGTGTTGTTTTTTTAAAATACACACCCCAAAGGCTGATTTATGGCCGCCGTCAGCCTTAATGAACATTGATTCCAAGGGGACAGTAAATGTTGAGGCGGAACAATACCCTCTGGGGTGTTGTCCAATTTGTAGCATGATTTAGATGGAAAGGGAGGCTTTTCTTTGGCTGGGTTATCCCTTTTTTCATCTGCTCTTTGGGATGAGTTATATATAAGCCCCTGATAGCAGCCTTAGCTGTCAAATATCCCCCTTGATTTAATGTGGCCGGCTACAGCGGTCACTATAAATAAGAAGGAGAGAAAAGGCTGGGACGAAAACCCAATTTGAGGCTTTGCAGGGACCCCTTGTTCTCGCCATGTGTCATGGCTCGCTTGGCCCCGTGGCGTTTTTACGAACTGGCCGTAATGAAAGTCAGATCAAATGTCCAGGGCTCTAAACATTTAATTCAATGGCCCTTGCAAGCCCTGGATGGGGCAGAGTTCTTTGAAAAGGCCCCGGTCAACTCAGATTTATGGCCTGGGAGGAATCTGAGCGAAGGAGGGAGGGAGGGATGGATGGATGGCCCTGCAGAGTGGTACTACCTGACACCAAAGGCCCTCCAAAAAAGTGAGTTATTTAAACATAAGGTTTGGCTTGTAAAGCCGCCAGCTGCTGGGTTTCAAGACTTGAAACCTTTCCAAGAGTTTGGACGGAGAGGTACTTTATATCAGCCGGGGAGTAAATACTCCAATTTTACTGCCAATTTGAAGGCGCTCGGTTTACAGTAATGATCTTGCTCAGGCCAGGCTTTGTTTATAGAAAGTGGAACAGGAAGAAATGAACACTAGCCATTAACAGTAGCAGTAATTCCTGCCCCACTTGGCTTCTCCCTCTGCTCTCCATCTCTCCCCGCGTCCGGCTTTGGCTCTTCCGAAACACCATCCCCGGGACAGACTCTGTCAAGGATGCCACAGAACCAACCAGTGGTAGCATTTCCAACAGTTATAGACTACAAGAGGCATCTCTGGAACTCAGTGCCGCAGGACGCATATCTTCCAACTGTTTGGGAGGGACTGTTGCAATTAATCCTCTCCTGTCCCACTTTCCCGCTGCTTTTAAAATGTCCCAGTTTCTCTCTCCTCCTCCCACTTTCCGCTTTCCTCTTTGTTTCCCTTCAGTTACTGCAAACCAAGTTCAAACTGCAAAAATTAACATGGGGGGGGGGAGAAAAGAGAGAGGTTGAATCTTTCCCTTCCCTGTCAACTCAGGCAAAAGCAAAGTGCTGCAGCCTCTCCTAGATTGCATGCTCTTTCTCATTAATAACCTTGTGCTCATGGTGCTTGTCTACATGTGTCCTGGTTTTCATCTGTGAACATCTGGAGGGTTTGCATCAAGTGTCATGGTTGCTTGTAACCAGAAAGCTTTTCCAGGGGTCAAGGGGTGTCTCATGACCTACGAGTGTCCACTGGGGCAGGAGGACTCCTGGGCCAAGTGGTTTCGGTCCTTGGCTGGATCTCTGTCCTTCTGGCCCTCAGACCTATAGTTGAGACCTGCTAGGAATCTGAAACCAGCTCCTCGCAAGAGGAAGAGGAAGCCTTGCATTCAAGGAGCGTGTCCTTCCCATCTCTCTCTGCATTGAAGCCTTGGCCAGAAATGTTCTCCTGCGCATGTGCGTATGGTGTGTTTCCTCCTCCCCCCCCCAAAGAGAGGTTTCCATTTGGATTTTCCGCTTTGGGTGCCAAAGTGCCGTGAGCCGGTCCTGCCTCTCGGATCAATGCCACCTTTGATTCCACGCGAGCCATTTCCATCTTTATCAACTCCCTTTCTCCTCTGAGAAGAGGAAAGTTGGGGGGGATTATTTCATATTATCTCATTGATTCCCATGACAAAAAGGTTTATGATTTGCTGTAAGGCCAGTTGAGGGGGGAGTAGTTGGATGCCTGGGATCTGTAGCTTTGCCTCCGTAGTGTGATTTTTAGCAGATTTTCAGCTTTTGCGGTTTCTCCTTTGTGCTGGCGAGAATCCCCAGTTTCCATTTCAGGCAGTCCACTGAAGGGTTTAAAAATCCTATTTCTCTTTCCTTTTTCCCCCTTCTTTTTGGGGGGCCAAGAAGAACCTTGATTTTGAAGGACCAGTGAGTTGGGGCTTTCATACTAATGCCCAGGAGTTGAGGATTCGAACTCTGGCCTCCCAGAGCCCTAGTCCAACCCTCATACTATGACATCAAACTCAAAGGAAGGCTTGGCATCCCTTCATTGGCACCCAAATCTTCTGCTTTCTTTCCTCCAAAGTAGGCCCCATTGAATTAAATGGGACAATGACTTATTCCCTAGCAAACATAATAGGATTGGAGCCTCATGTGATATATTTTTAAACCTTCTTATAGTCACATTTCCCACAACATTAGCAACCCTGAAGCGACATAACGCAAGTCATAAAGCTTTCAGCAACAGGATTTCATTTTCACGTTGTTAAATAATCTTGATTACAAAGGAGAGACGCTTTCCAAAAATAAGGCAGGTTTATTTGGCAACGCAGCAGCAAAAATGGAAATAATATTGTCAACTTGCTGGTGCCATGCAATTACACACACACAAACACAAACACAAACACAAACACCACTGGCTTTAACTGTTCCCCATCCGAAAGAACAACCCTCCCTCCGACTTAAAGCCAACGAGGCAAGACACACACATAGGTCTGAAGTGTCCTTTCCCCACTGTTTTGAAATGTTTTCTCACTTTTCCAGATTTTTATCAACAATGAGTGGCAGAACTCAGAGAGTGGGAAAACCTTCCCCGTCTTCAACCCGGCCGTGGGAGAACAGATCTGCGAGGTGCAGGAGGCCGACAAGGTAAGTAAGGCCTTTGAGGGACTTGTAGTATCCTGTTCCTTGGAGGCAGCATTGGAAGGGACCCCAAGGGCAGCCCCCTTCCACCAGCCAGGAACCCACAACAAAAGCCCTCTTAAAGATCCCCAAAGACCTCCATCACCTTCTAAGGAACTCCGTTCCACTCCTGAGCAGCTCTTATTGTCAGGAGGTTCTTCCTAATGTTTTGGTGGAATCTCTCTTCTTCTGCCAAAATTCATGACTTTGTGTCCCAGCCTCTGGAGCAGCAGAAAACAAGGTGGTTCCATCTTGTATGTGACGCCTCTCAAGATGGGCTAAGCATCCCTAGGCCATTCCTCGCGTGGCTTGCTGGCTTCCAGCCCTTTGACTATCTGGACACGCTCCAGGTTGTCCACATCCTTCTTGAATGATGGTGCCCAGAAATGGACACAGTGGCATTCCTGGTGAGGTCTGACCAGAAAAGATCAGAGTGGTGCTCCTTCCTTCCCTTGATCTGGACACTGATGCAGCCCAGAATTGCATTGGCTTTTTGGGCTGCTGTATCACACTGTTGACATTTGCTTCATTGGGATCCACTTAGATCCTTTTCACATGTGCTGTTGTCAGGCCAAGCCAGGGGTCGCCCATCCGTTCCCACCATTTTCTATCATGGTCAAAACCGATTCCGTGGCATGTCCTTCCCAGCCCAGTGATGATGATGCTCCTTTGCTCCATTTGACCTCCTCTGTTTTTCCAGCTGGACACAGACAAAGCCGTGAGGGCCGCTCGCCTGGCCTTTTCTCTGGGCTCCGTGTGGAGGAGGATGGACGCCTCAGAGAGGGGGTGCCTCTTGAATAAACTGGCCGACTTGGTCGAAAGAGACCGAGTTCTCCTGGCTGTAAGTTGCACTGGGGTTCATGGCACTACGTGTGTCCGTCCGTCTGTGTGTCCATGCATGCCCCTTGTTATTGTTGTTACTTCTCTTCTTTATTGTTGTGTGCCTTCAGGTCATTTCCAACTTATGCAGACCTATCGTGGGGTTTTCTAGGCATGATTTCCTCCGAGGAGATTTGTCATTGCCTTCTCCTGAGGCTGAGAGGATGTGACTTGTCCAAGGTCACCCAGTGGGTTTCATGGCAGAGCTGGGATTCGAACCCTGGTCTTCAGAGTTGTAGTCCAGCACTTAAAACACTATGCTAAACTGGCTCTTACTGGCTTCTGTACTTTACTAGGCATGATTTCCTAAATACCCTGAAAGCACCAGATCCCATCTGATCTTGGAAGCTCAGCACAGTCACGCCTGGTTAGTATTTGGGTGGGAAACCATCAAGGAAGAGCCAGTGTTGCATGAAATATTTTTCAGAAACGTAATGGCAAGCTTCCTCTTGACCATTCCTTTATTTAGCCCCGTGAAACTCCTGGGGTCACCCTAAGTCAACAGGCGATTCAAAGGCACTTGCAGGCCTAAAAACTCTTGAAGGCACCAGATCCTTTCTGAGTTTGAATGATAAGCAAGGCCAGGCCTGGTCAATACTTGGCTGGGGGACCACACCAAGGAATATGGAGCGGGGGGGTGGATGGTGAAGGCAATGGGAAAGCACCTCCGAGTATTCCTTGCCTAAGAAAATCCTATGAAATTTGTGGGGCCATCATAAGTCAACAAGGGACTTGCGGATACAAACACACACACACACACACACGATTTCTAGCAGGAGGAAAGGCTGAGCAACTGCTGCAAGTAAGGTAACCAACCCAGCTGAGTTGTGTGGAGGGTTGTTTGGATTACATCAATTACAGAAATATTAGTCAGCCAGCCCCCCTGGGGAAACATGGGCCCATGCCCCCTTCTTGTGCATCTTCCCTTGGGTCTTGCGTGTCAAGAGGCATGTCGGGAACTCTGGGTAGCCCTGTCAAGGGCTGGAGGTGTCCTTGTCCGCATTGCCAGGACAATGGCCATGTCTGAACCAGAGCCAAAGAGCCCAAGGGTTTCAGGGTCAGTCCCCTTGGGTGCGTGCGCCTTCTCTCCTCTGCAAGCGGAAGAGAGCACCGTCCATGGTCCAGGCGCACTGCTGCGGCAGAGAACATGTGGCCAGGCTCTTTCTCCGCTCTCGCTCTTTCTCGACACAGTGGCACTCTTAATGGTCTTTTCCACATGTCAAGTGCTTTGAACTAAGCCTGCAAACATCTTAATTCCAGCTTTGTCAACACTTAAATCATCTTACCACCAGCGCAGGCTGTAAAATCACCATGGGGAGAAGGGGACCGACTGAGCAAATCAAGTCCTC